GGGGGGGGGGGGGAGCAAAGGGTTCTGAAGTCAAAATCGGGAGCAAATGGTTGTTTGGGAGGACAGGAGGAAGAGGGGTGGTAATACAGCGGGAGAGGAGCCATCTGGAAAAGTTGGTTACCAAAGCTCACAGCATAACTTCAGAATCTCGCTGATGACGTATGAAAACGTACTTGTTACTCTATTAGTACATCACAGACCACTAGATGGATGTGATAGGTTCTCTTAGGGTATGATTACCTTTTTATCATTAACTCATAGATACCGTACTACAGTTTTGTCGGGATCCTTCCCATTTAACCACCACAAACCTCAAACCTTTCAGATGATGTAGATCGAGTTCCAGTGCGAATTCCGCGTTCACGTTGAGAAACAGTCCCCCATCAAAATGGTCATATTTTATGGAAATCGCTGTTCGGTGGCCGGTTCTATTAGATAAGTAGTCTGGCGAGGGTAACGACGAATACTGCACGATTATGCATGACACATCACTGTAGTGGCGAATCAAAGGATTCAGTTTCTCAAGTGGAAAACTCGTTCTTTCCTTTCTGCCGTTCACCTAGGAGATCATCATTGTCGGTCGACATGCTTTACAACTCAGAACTGCTGGGCATGTCACATCACATGCGTTCAAAGGGCGTTCTATAGTGATTCTTCATTTTGATCAGTGTTCGGGGCGTGATGTATGCCCTCACAATGTACTGCGGCTCTCAACTGTTTGCTTTGGGCCTCTGTGTGGTCCCCGACCAGAATCGATTGGGTCAAGTGTTCCATTTTGGGCTAGGAACTAGCCGAACTCACTCCATTCCTCCACGGCTTTCACCCCCAGCTGTCCAAATTTCATTTCGTGCAGGCCTTTTCCGCTGATACTGACTGTTATCGTTTCTCTTCCCCACCTTGTCCCAGGAAGGGCGTGGGTATGTTGGCACCGTTCTGCCTTTCACTGAATTGTTTGTTTTTCTCGACCTTTCCTTTGTAGAGTAGCTTCAATGTGTACGTAATGTTCGCAGCTGGTCGGTCTTCAGTTGCCAACTTCCATCCTTCATATCATACCCTAAAGGCCTTATCAGTTAGGCCACCCACGACTACCAGGGCAGTGGCCAGATAATGTCCTTACGTATTCCAGCGCGGAATCTCCTTAGCTAGAATCGTTTGGGTCAAGAGGGACTCAGCCTTCCTGATGGCGGCTTCTTTCAACATGACCTCCGGTCTGCCACAAGCTCCTTTCTCTCTCAGCATGATTTCTTGCCATTGTTGATTCGCTCGCTCTCAGAGAAGTCCTCAACATTCGTTCCATCGATCGGCCATTCGATGTTGTCGTAGCTTTTTCTCTCGGTCTCATTACTGCATTGATAACGAGTTGATAGATGGCCCGTTATCTCTTAGTCCCTAATGCCACCCATCCTACTCACGTACTGCCTCCATCGTATTGTTAGGCCTACTGATGGCATCATTCTCCCGTAGCGGCGACAATTTCTCAGACTTCCATGTCACCATATTTTTCCATAGATCGTTTTTGCTTCCATTTCATTAGCAGTTGCCCATTCCCACAGGGAGAAAAACCTTCCTACTCGTTGTAAACCAGCCGTAAAGAGAATCGCACCGATTGTTTGACATGAGCCAGGAGAAAGTCGTTTCTTTTCTGGTTGTCCGTTCGGCAGGAATCGTATTGTGTTCTTGATGGAACCCCCTTTTTCTGATATTCACTGACTTCCAGGGATGTCGTATTAGCAAATAATCATTCACCTGCCGTCGTTTCAATTAAAAAAGTAGAAGTTCAAGAAATGGGATCAGTCGGGGTTCCACTTTGGTCAGGGCGACCGTTTCCGATGTTGCAGTAGCTGTTTCCTTTCTGCATTCCGATTTCACCTTGTCGAATATTCATTCTTGTTCTGGGTGACTAATCGATTCTGTTTGACACATTCCCATTCAACCATTTCCAAAGCGGTAACCATGGTCATAGGTGGGAGAGTGAGCCCAGAGAATCCAGGAGCCATTGGGCACGATTTCTGCAGATAGATTTATGGCTTTTCTTGCTGCATAAAATTGGCCATCTAACCCAGCGAAGCCACTTAATCGCCTTTTAGGCTTGAAAAAGCGCCATATAACCCCTAGTACCGCTATTTCATTGAAACTGAAGTAGGACACTCTTTCGGTACGGTCATAAATACTTTTTAGTATTACTGCATCTTAAGTATGCACTTTCCCCGACCCAATAAAAGCTCATAGGAGTTCATAAAGTAATTGTACACTGGAAAAAGGCTAGTTCGATGGAAGGTGTTCTCACTTCTATGAATGCTTTTTGACAGGCTCTTTCGGTACACTCGCAAATACTTTCTAGTATTACTGTATTCGCCTGTAAATAGACACTTACCCGTCCCAATAAAACTCATAAAGCAATTGTGGACTCGAAAAAGGCTAGTTCTATGTAGGCGTTCTCTTTCTATGGAATGCTTTTTGGCAGACACTAATGCTTGCTGTCAGTGATGCCGTCCTCTGAATGGTATCAGTGTCTGTTTTCGCTCCGCCGAACATGGATGGGTAGGAACTGGTTCCATGAAGAATATGTGCCCTCGTCATCGTGTTCTGTGCCGAAGGACGTCGCTGAAATTTGATGGACAAGTCCCGAAAGTTTTTCTGCTGAGGATGACGTTAGAATCTCGTTTTTCTCGACTTTTCGAGAATTCGTCAAAAAACGCTCGCAATCAACTTGGATTTTTCTTCTGCACTTCATAATCCTGCTATAAATTATGTATGAACCCTCATTTAAGATCTTTATGTAAGAAAACGGTACTTCTGGAATTAATAAATCGTCTCGATTGCAAACATCTGAACTCCTACAACAGACAAGTGCATGTAGAGGTACAATTCTTGACCAAATGGATCTATGGGTTATGTACTGAAAAAAAATCAGGTCCCGACCTTGAAAAGACGACATTTGGCGGATTGAAAGGAGCTTAATTCAACCGATCTCCAATCCCGTTAACTCTATCTAGCAGTGTCAAAGTGGGCGGGGTTAGGGTTTCTAGTCCCGAGTACGTCATTTCCAGGAATGACTCTGCCGTGACAACATCATATACCGACTTGGGGAGGTCCCAATACCTTAATAGCAGACCCACTCTTATGATAAGTGGTGTTTTCATAAGGTCTACTTGGATCAGTTCTTAATCCAGTTTTTTTCAGTTCCCTTCCCCCAAGGTTAGATCACTATATCACAGTGTAATCACCTTCCCCTTTCCGATATGCCCTATACCAATAGATACGATAAGAAATGGCAACGGAAGCGATCGTTTCGTTCACTTGGTGACCGTCCCCACCAGTTTCACCACATGACCTCATATTTCATCTGAATTACCAGTTTTTTGGGGAAAGTTTTCTGTCATAGTTTTTCATTGTAAAAAGGTGCATGGAAGCACCTGATGGGCTTCTGTTTTGGCCTATCAGCTGCACTCATCCTCCCATATCTTCGGGTCCCTTTTGTGACTCCACCATATCCTAATTTTACTTACGAGAACCAACATTTTATGATTACAGTCGTCCTTGAGCTTTGTTTTTTCAATGTAAGTCTTATTAGATGACTAGATATTCGTTAAATTGTTCTGCTATCAGATTCCCTGAGATTCTGTGTTCCCGAGAGTGAAAAGGCTCTCCAGTTGTTCAAGATTTAAAATGTAAAGAAAAATGGAGACTGCCTTTTTTGGTCCTAAAAGTCGTTTTCGAAAACCAGACAATATTAATGACGGTCCTTTTGCCCTCTCAATGAAAAGTCAAAATGCCAATCACTAAGAAGTTCGGATAGGTGAAACGACCTATTGGTTTTTGTGGGTAGCTGACGCCTCTAACCCAACTGCACTGTCCTCATCCCAGTTGCCCTTTCACTCAAACTTTTCTACTCCACCGACGTCGCTTTTCAATTTGTCACGAAGACCTCCGATCAATGTGGGGTATGTTTATATGACCCCTCTGAGTGATAGATTACACCCTCGTGAGCGATTTTCCGCCATGTTATACTCTGCACATGACTGACGGCGATATCGATTCGGGCGTCTTTTCCCATAGGTATCATCAACGGTCATTTGTTAGCGATATGTTTGACCTTTGTGGGAAGGGCATAGTCTCCGCTGCCAATCTTGCAACCTTATCGAATTAACCGATATAAATTTTCCTTGTGAATGGGGTTCCTTTGTTATTGAACATCTGCGTTTTGCGGTTGGGCGGTACAGATCCCTATCGATCGACCGATTTCTCTGTCGTTTTTATGACTTTATTGACTTTAGGATTAGAAAGACCCTTTTAATAAACAAAAAGGAAGGACATAGCTCAATCTGTAAGAATTAACAATGAAATGTTTGGGGTATTTTGCTTTTGCGAGTCGATTTCGCTCATCAGAGCAGTTTTGAGCGCTAGAGCGCGAAATCATACATGACTGGTTTTGAGGCTTTATTGGTCACATACTGAAAAGCGCAGTGCGTGGATTACTTCCCTTTTTCATTCCGACTATTCCTCCACGCGAAATTTTATGATCGTTTTAAATCTGTCCCATAACACATTTTTCGGTAGTTTCAATGGGAAGTGTGTTCGGAGGAGTGGTTCCATCCAAACACATTATATGGCTACCACCTGCTCCCATTCAGTAACTGTACTAGTAGCGTAGTAACCTCACACACAGCTGGCCCGCTCTTGTTGTCCTCAACGATCCAGACGGGCCAATTATTCCCCATGGAACCGCTCGCCCCACCACCTCACAGTATTGATTGATCCTACGTAGTCAGTACGTGGGTTCCATTGAACATTTCACTTCTTGCCCTTCTCATATGACTGCTTCATACTTCTTCATTTGGGGCAGAGTCCAAAATTTCTTTTCCCCTATCTACTGAGTCATTAATCAGATGTTCATACCATGTTTATGTACTTTTTCAATGCAATTGTCGATTCATAACGATAATTCGCCCATAGATCATCCAAAAACGACCGGAAAAAAGATTTTAGTGCTTTTACAGACACCCCTTGCATCTCCAAAAAACAGTGAAACGTCACCGACCATTGTTTTGCAGGGAGAACAAACCGCCCGTGTCCCAGTTCCCATTACTGCGTTGTGTGATTCTCAGTCGTAAAATAACGGATATGTGCAGTGAAAGGATTACAGACAGCACATTTTATTCGTCGAATGCCAAATTTTGCGATCATTAAAACTCTAAAAAAAGTTTAGAAAGGTTGTTCAGGTTGAAGCGTGAGCTGAAGTCTAAGTTTCTTGGAACGCTAGTTATTTAAGTTACTTGCGTTGTACATTCTGCTCTGCAGTTCACGTCGTTTTAATAAAACTGACAGTTTGGAAATTTTTAAAGGATAAGTACTGTTCTGTCTAACGATAAAATGCAATGAGGAGAACTCTCCTCAGTCTTTGCTGTATTGTCTGCATGTGTAATGGGGTTAGAAAAGGTGTCGCGAAAAGCAGGTGGTAGGAAATTTTTGGTCCGGTTAAAGACCGTCATGTTAGTGGTGGAATAATGGCTGTAATAATTTCAAGTAGTTAAGAAGTGTAACTTTACAACTAATAGAAGTAAAGATCCACATTTTGAAGCTCAGCACGTACTGGGTTTAGCTTCGCTCCCAAAAAGTTCCACGATAGCACGTCCTCTTCCCTATAAACTTATTTCAACTTATAGTCAGTCAAATCGGCTTTCAAAAATGCCCATCTATGTGCATGGGCTCCCACTGCTTCCTCTTTTTTGGAAAACCAGTAATTACTTGGTACATCCAGCGTCGGTTATTCCATTGGATGTGATCTAGGATTGGACCTCATCCGTGATGAGTGTGGGTAGCTTGGGGTGATTGGGCGGGATTGTTGTTGATCTGAAAGCTGAGTTTGTAAAAAACTAGTTATCAATTAAACCATGGGTGGTTACTAGTTTTGTTGATCCCACCCGGCGTAAACTTCATTGTCCAGCTGTGCACCGTTTTTCATTCAATGTGCCTATTTAATATATTGGTTGGTGTAATCTGTCTTTCGGAATTATTTCCACCGGAACCATTTTGTCATAGAATCTCTCCAGCTGGCCCGAGGTCGCCGGTCTCCGCGTCGTTCTACCCATTGTTATCGTCAGGTCATCCTCATCGTAATCGGAGAAAATGAATATGCTGCAGTAATTAAGTGCTCCCACTCGTCCACCATCCCACTGCCATCTGTTGTAGAGAAAATTCGCGTGTTGGTTCCATCGATTCGTTCCCCGATGTTGTATATTTATCGATGCGATTATGGACGGTATCGCGTGCTTATGACGCACAAAGCCGTATGAAATGGAAATGGAAAGGATGAATAGAAACCCATTATTTCATTCATCTACGCCTTTCAGTGTAGATTTCACACAATCTTTATGGCTCCCAATGGTTTCCATCACTGCAATTCTTTTCGAAAAAGCTTATTCTTAAAAGTTTGTTTATTTTTATTTCTTCTCTGAAAAAATTTCTATTTGTTATATAAAAGCGACATTTCTTTAGGTAGAAAAATTAGCAAAGTAGCCTGGGTATAGGACCAAGAATACCTACCTTGAACCAGTTGGATAGCACTGGCTTTGTGCATACTTTGGAACTCGAATATTGGTGTATCAATCCTTTTAAGGACCGCCTCTCACTGTCCATTCTCACTCTATAGCGTGCCGGTGGCCCGTTGAGAACAACCGGCGATTTTACGCTTGGCTGCCCAGCTGGCCATTGGTGCATGTAACCGCCATCTGATTCATTTTCATAGTTCCCATTCCATTCGATTTCATTTTTCATATTTCGCTGGTGGGGCATATTTGTGATGGTTTAGATTCTGTCCTTGCTCAAAATGTTCCTATAGTGTAAGTCGTCGTGTTTTATTTATTTATTAACGGACATGCCATTAGGCATGTGGAACAGCAATCCAGTGGTAAGTAACAACACTAACAAAGCATACATCAACAACACAAGTGTATAGAACAAAATAGATAAAGTGAAGTAAAATAACTGGGAGCAGAGCCAGATCAGATGTACTTGTCCAGTGCTCTTTTAAACATATTATAGTCTCCAGGAAGATTGCTACGCAAAAGAGCATTGAAAGGAGTGCAAATTGTTTGTGTTCGCCTAGACACCTAGTTTTCCTGTTTTTTTTTNTTTTTTTTTGTACCTCTGCAGTTTGAAGTAGTAATTAAGGGTATCGAGGGCCAATTTGGCATTTTTAAGTATTCAAGTGTCAGATGGTTTCTAGTTATAAGGCAGTTTTGATGCGTTGTTGAGTGTGCTGTCGTTTTACTATGTCGCAGTAAAATAGCTGTTGCTCTTTATAAAATCTCTTAGATTCTTGAGTTCTTGTAAAAACATCAGATAATGAAATTATGATCCAAACCTCAAAAATGATTATCTCTACTGCGATGTACTTGAAAACATTCAATTCAGTTCATTGGCCGCGCATGACTTTTCACATCGATCGCTTAATCCTCCTCGCCATCGTTCTTGTTGTGATTTCGAATGCTGATCGCTTTTCTAGATAACATCAAAAACATACTTGTTAATACCTTTGCTGCCTGCCCTCTTTCAATTCGTTTTCAATGTTCTTCTCTGTTACAGGTTAGGCACAATGCCAATTCAAATGCCGAAGCCCCAGTCTCAACATCGCCATCATCGTGTCGATGCCCTCTGGGACAGTAATGCTGATAAGTACCGTGTAGCATGTAGATCAGTACATGTGATGAGAGTGAGTCATATTCTTGCTAAATCGTCTTTAGCTTTCTGTTTTTCGAGTCGAAGGAACAAAAGTAATTCATACAAATGATCTTGAGCTTAGATGAATAATTCCAGGAATGAAGGTACTAGACCAATCAACTCAACTGCCCGGTTAAAGGGGTGGAATAGTCTGGATTACTGGGAAGGCAATTTTTGTCAAAATNAGTTCTGTTTCTGCATTAACAATTCAGCAAATTCATTTACGAAAACAAAACTTCCACGAGATTCGTTCCCGTCAGTGTCCATCGGTTTGGATTCAGTCTTTATTATCTTACTTCTAGGCCACTCAGTTCATCGGCTACGGACAACTTTTGGTCATCGGATTGTTCACAGCTGCATTGCTTTTCTTTTACGGAAAGCATCTTAATGTGAGCCTTCTTAAACATATTCCGTGCTTAGTTGTGAGTGCAAAATGCTGTAATGGAGATAGAATATTGGTAAAATTATGTACAAAGCTTGCAGGGTGGACTTCCTGGAGACCATTGGTTAGCATCCGCAGGTGGTCGCTACATAACTTCTCTTCTCACAGCTGTTTCCCTTCAGCTATCTCTGGTAAGTTTGATTTCTTTTTAATTAAGCTTTACGCACTGATTGTGAGCACTAGGAGCCTTGAAGTATACTTTTCAACAGTTTTTTTTTTCGTTTGAAAAGATGACGTTACAGGTTCTGATGATGCTTCATGGAGTTCGTTCGCAGAGAAGATCATTTTTGTTGCCTTTCATTATCTTCGCATCATTCGCAGTATTCCTTGCTTTCATCCAGGTACTTCCTTGATTACGTTTAGATTCATTCTTACATAGCATTTCATGCATTAATCTCCTTTTCCAAACCTAGCAAGATTTTCTTTGTGGAAATCGGTTTCTTAAGTTCAATAACCCAATAACCATTCGATTGGGTTCTTTCTGAATAGTTGTAGTGGTGGATTCTTGCTCAAGACTTTGGAGTCAGGGTAAATACTGTTTTGAACGCTGCTTTGAGAGTGTTTTACTGAACAATTTACGGCTCTCAAGAAAGATGGGAGGAGAAAAGTAGCGAGTTGTAACGAAATGCATATGTTTTCAATTAACAGTTATTTCTAAAATTTGGGGTGGGGCATTACATTTGTACGATTCTAGAGCCTATTTCTATCTAATTACACTCTTCGTTGATTGAAGTCTATAACAAGAGCAAAAGACAGATCGGCCCTTAGAATCGGAAGTTCAGGATATTTTACTCTGTTTCATTTAAGGTTTCGTCTGATTTGGTCGCGGCATCCCAGGCTCGTGTTGGCTCTTCATCTGGGCCACAGCTTCTAAGTCATGTCATTGGAATGTGCGTTCATGTATGGTGTGTCGCTGTGGTTTGGCGCTGCTATTGCTATTTGGGAGACAAGAAGGTACATATTAGAGTTTTACCGTCGATTAACACGCAATCCATTTACTTTCTTGGTTACAGGTTGCTGAACAGATCGGCGAACAACTTCAGGCTACTTCATTGGCATTCGCATATGAATATACTCAGCCACCACCATATGCCGACACTGTCGAAAAAAGTCCTCTCACAATTGCATGATTCATGAAGAATTTCCGACTGCATCACTAATTGATGCCGAATTTGTCTACTTATTTCTTTAGCAACCCCCTAACGGGACCAATATACCTGATTGCTCTTAAATTGTCGCTGGTTTTTCGATTTCAACCATAGTCATTCGAGGATCGTGTCTCTCTCACCATTTTACTTTTTTCACCAGTTTTTCAGAAGAAATCTTCGGGTTTCTTAATATTGTAGACTATTGTTGGTTGGTAATGAACGTTGAGAGTTAAAGTTGAACCGGCATGGACTCGGTTCTATAATTCAGTACAGTAACCATTTGCTCTCTGAATCCTTCACAAACAGTGTGTGTTTTGTCCCAAATCATCTCCCACTGATAGTGTGATTGAATAAGAGTGTACAAATTTAATAATACAAATGTAATAAACTCTGCTATAGCATTAGTGGTGCTGTTAAAAAAAATCTTAACGATATATTAGTGCAATGGTGCTGGTCATCTGGGAGGATACGCTCGACTAAAATTGACGGCGACACAACCTATACAAGAATCGTCTTGAAGACCAAATATCACAACAAATGTGGAACTAGAGAACAGCTAAGAAACGGCTGAAAACCATGAAGAACAAGAAAAAGAAAAACTAGTCACCTTTGATATCGATTGTATCATTTCACAGAACCATATTGATTTGGAATGAGACAGGAGGCGAAAAAGAGGACAAAGCTCAATCCCGTTAAGAAAAGTTTCCACCGCTGTGGGAAAACTGCACTAACACAATGCAGGGGAATAATTATTGAGAATTTAGGGAAGACGATAATAGTAGTCGGTTCACAATGATAAACCAACGACCGACAAAACAGAAAACAGGGTTACCCACAAATAATGTACATCAAATAATCTAGATATAAATATTTGTTAAATCTGCTGCCTGTAACTAGATTACTAGAAGTTGTACCATTTCTTCTTTTCCATTTTCTCCACCAATTTCCCAGTTCGTTGTGAGAGGTTCATGGCATTGTTACGAAGATTTTCGGTCGCATCCACAGTTGCACTCAGTTTTTCTCCTCGTTCCGAAAGATTCTGAAAAAAAGAACAGGAAGTCCAGAAGGAAGCAGGAGTTTATAAATGAATCGCACTCGTCATACCTGCAATGCCTGCATAGCAGCTTGCCCTGCAGATACACCACCACTCTGGGCTCTTTCCATATTCGCTGAAGGGCCGGGAATCGTTCTGGCGACAACGCGTGCTGCTCCTCCTCCAACACCACCACTTGTTTTATCACGATCTGCTACTGAAAGGACGACGTCACGAAAGTAAACAATGAAACCACCTATAGACATTTATTCCAACTTCTTTCCCTTACGAGAGCCAGTGACGACATGGAGGAAAACAAGAAAGAAAAACAATGTGGAACAATTCAGCCACCCCATTACATTCAGTTATATGGTGCAGCTGAATAACCAGGGAAAATGAAGTGAGCCTTTTTGCTTTTGAGAAAAAAACCAAAAAAGCAGTGTATGCAACATTATTGAAAAGGGCCCTTTAATGTTATCTTGATTACTTAGTTAGAACGAATATTAATACCTAAAATAACACCTAATTTAGTTGTATACCTTCGCGACTATCAATTTGTCCATAGAGTTGCATACCCCGTGATCAGGTACATGGAAGAATAGGGTATGAAATCTTTACAGCGCATAAGTCCTATTAGGAAGAGTGATAATTTGCAACCCAGATGGGAGATGGGCAGTAGGAACAGTTTTGCGTAGTCGGTCCGCCGCATGCGGCTGTCGCGGACCATTTGCCCCGTTATAACAGTACCAGCGTTCTTCATACAGCTCAGTCGCTATGCGATTATTACTTATGGTATGATTCTATTGCTAGTTCTTTTGTTCCTGAACTTCTTATTTGCTGCTGCATTCTGCTACATTCATTCGCGCGCGCGTCTCTCGCTGCGACGCGACAATTTCGTTCCTACTGGACCACACCTAACCCAGATCAGCCTTCTGCTAGGAGACTCAGGCGTCAAAAAAATATAAACGCTCGAGTCTCTTCGTGTCTTAAGGGAGCACACAGCTGTACTAGGATGTACGAACCTCAGAGGATTACTAACAGAACTAGCACCTGGAAGAGAACATAAACACGTAATTTTATCTTATTTTGCGAAGGAAACCTAATCAAGTAGAAATTAAACTCCCTCACCCCTCAAAAAATATCGTCAGCATGAGTCGGCGATGTCATGTTCAACAAAGCTTTAATAACCTCTCGAACGCAGTGCAGTATTATAGCCCCAACTATAGTAGTCTTTACCGGGCGCTTATTGCGTAGAGGGGGTACTGTATTTAGCCACTTCTACAAATGTTTGTCTATATACGATGATTGTTGTATTACAGTCGCTTCTTGCATATGATCATTACGATCGATAACTGAACACGTTTAGATAATGCATTTTGAAATACGTCAAAGCAAATTCTTTTGCGCCATTCAGTTATTCCTTCCCATGTCCTAGTTCACCGAGAGCTATGTTGTAATTCCTTCTTCGACAACATTCCAAGCCCCTCTGCCTTTTTTCTGCGTATGAACTTCCTCACTTTCCTGTGTCACTTTGGGACTTCTTTAATAAATCATATACTCCCCTCTTTTTAGTGAGAATAGTGAATTTTCTAGCCACTGTTGTAGAAAAAAAAA